CCGCCTGACCCCTGCGCCCCCCTGGCTGCCCCCCAGCCCCACTCCCCCGCGGCCCCTCTCAGCAGGGCTCTTCAGAAGCTTGTGTGTGTTTGCGGCTCCCCCGCCCTCCTCTTCAGCCCGGGCTTTGCCCCCGTCGCTGCACGGAAGCGGCTCTGGTCAAGGCCGAAGGTGACCTTTGGTGCTCCATCCAGAGGCCGGATCTCCTTCCCGTCCCATTGAATCACCCAGCAGCATGTGCCTTACTGTCCTCCGCCTAACTTTAAGATGCTGTGGCACCGAGAAAGAGAAAACCAGCACCTCTGCAGCTCCTCACAGGGAATCTGAAGTCCGCAAAGCCCCACGTGATCTGGTGCCCGGTCACCTCACCTGCCCGCCCTTACCCGCCAGGGCCCCGGATCACCCTCGGACCCACCTTTGCTGCTGCTACCTCAGTGCCTTTGCGTCCGCTCTTCCCTCTGCTTGGGCCGCTCCCAGAGGGTGTGTGCTCCAGTGTCCCCATTCCTAGTGCCCTTTGCCCCCAGCAGCGCCGTCCCCCTTTTCTGCTTTACTTTCTCGTAACGTTGGCCACCATCGACGTACCGCTTATGTTTTGTACGTTGTCTCCCTCCTCCAGGGTTTTAGGAAACTCTGTCAGGTCGGGGTTTCCTTTCTTTCTGAAATCAGCAGCCAGAAAGAATGTTGCTGCCTAGGTGCTCAGTAGTTGCTGCGAGAGGATGTTTTGGTAACTCTGTTCCCCCTTTCTGTAGCGTACAGGTGACACCAAGCCCAACTTCTTCCAGGACTGCCTGATGGAGGTTTTCGACAACCTGGAACACCACATCCAGAACCCGCTGGTGTTGCAGTCCGTCCTCAGCCTGATGGACAGGGGCACAATGGTCCTCACCACCAACTACGACAACCTGCTGGAGATTTTTGGGCAGCAGCAGAGCAAGCCCATGGAGTCCCTGGACTTGAAGGACAAGACTAAGGTGCGGGCTGCAGGGTGGGGGGCGGGGGTGTCTTACCCCCTCCGCAGGCCGACCGAGCCCTCCCTTTCACGGCAGCACATTAGCGATCGCGACACCGGGAGGGCGACGACTTGTCTCACCTGCGCGTTTCCTCTGTGCCTTTGTCCCACGCACGTGCGAGGGCTGCTCACGTGTGTGTGTGTGCGCGTGGCAGGCCCTGTGGGAAGGAGGGCCAGTGGTTTGGGTAGCCCCTCCCCCTCGTTCTGGATCGGGTGATGCTGTGCGTGATGTTGTTATCTTGATATTTTTCCCTTAGTACCGTACTTGGAATGTTTCCTGATCACGAAGCTGTTTCTAAAAGCATGCTTACAAACGGCAGGGCGATGGGAGAACTGAACCAGAATTGCCATCCTTTCTCTGTTATTATTAGCGTCTTTGCACAAGTACAAATAACACTACCGTGAAGATGTTTACACTGTGTGTCTTTCTGGTGACTTCTTTAGGGTAAAATCTCAGAAGAGCGGCAGGGTCAGAGGGCATGAGTATGTTAGATGATGTGAATCACCAGGTTGCTTCCCAGAAGATAGCCAGTTCCTGCCCCCACCAGCCGCGTCAGAGAGCACGCGTGTCCCACCTCTTGTCAACACGTGTCACCAAAAAACAAAACAAAACACATTTCTCCCGTTGAGGTGGAAATCGGTGAACAGTGTACGTTTCTGTTTCTCTTATCGCTAAGGTCGATCCTGGTTTCATTTTGTTGACTGTATTTCTTTTGTGAAATGTTTGTGTCTTTGTGTGTTTGCTTAAAGATGTTGTGTCATTACTAACGCCGCTGCTGGGTTATCCAGCTCATCCGCCCAGGAAGCCGAAGCGCGTAGAGATCGCGCCTTGACGTTGAGGGCTGCTCCTTGCGCCCTCCCCCGCGGAATGTGGCGAAAGCGCGTGCCGGCACGGTCCTCATGGTGGGGTCACGCCCTCCCCTGAGCTCTTTGTGACACGTGACGGAGCGCCTGCTCGCCGCACCCCAGCCACGCGGTCCCATCTGCGAGGCTCTCTGGCTGCTGCTGTTGTAAATCGCGTCCCTGGAAATCCAGTGCAAAGGGCCTGTGGCAGAAGTGCCGGCCCACCTCCTGCCCGGTGCCCACAGAGCTGGGCTCCTGCGGCGTGTCTGGTGGTGCCAGGCCTGCCCGCCGATGTGACGGTGGCCCTGGCGTGAAGACAAAATGGAGTGTGTGTGATGTGCAGCTTTTCAAGGGCCTTGTTCTAGATCTTGAGGTGAAGTCAGTCCAGGGCTGTTTGATAAGTTATGGGTCCACACGTGTGCTTTTCTGGGCGTACAGACGACACGTCCACGGCAGTGACTAAAATAGAACGTGTCACTCAGAAGCGAAAGTCCCCTTCATCCCCCTCAAGGAACCGGTCTCGGCAGGTAGCTGGCATCTCACGTGCTGAAAGCCATCTGTAAAGCAGTTCTTGGTCCGACAGGACTCAAGTGGCACAATAGCCCGGTTCCTCTTAGGCTTTAAAGGTGCGATTATAAAGTGAAGTATTTCTCTCGCTCTTTCCAAGGAACGGTTGAAACCCGCGAGTCCGGCGTAGATGTCTTCCTCTTCTGCCTCCTTTAAATAATAGCTTTCTCCCCTCTGTCCTGGCTTGCTGTCCCACAGGTCCTTCAGTGGGCGAGAGGGCACATCAAATACGGAGTTCTCCACATTCACGGCTTGTACACCGATCCCTGCGGGATGGTCCTGGATCCGTCGGGGTACAAAGATGTTACTCAAGACCCGGAAGTCATGGTACGGCCCCCCTTCCTCAGGCACTGCTTGCGCCCCTTGGGACTTGGTGGCCTGCTGGCTGCTTGCTGGCAGTCCGAGCGGGTTCCTGGCCTCCAGGCATATTCCTGCCCCTCTGTCCACACAGCTGGCGCTGTTCTCAGCTCTGTCTCCCGGGGCTGGCGCGTTGAACGGATGCCCGGTCCTCGTGCGGTGCGGCCCGGCCGCTCGGGGACGCAGGTGAATCTCTTCGGCGTGATCCGCGCCGGTTTTCTCCGGCCTCTCGTCCCGACCTCACGTGGTGCTTTTTTGCATTCTTTCAGGCCTCCCCTCTCCTTTCTCTGCTTGGCATTCTCTCTAGCTTTCAAAACCTTGTTTTACACTTCATTCCTTCCCTGTGAGGCTTTTTTGATATCCTGGACAGAACGAAGTGTGGGAAAGCTGCTTTTCAGCTTTCTATAAACTCTTTTAATTAGAGCGCTTACAAACCACAGTATTCTCACGGAGTCACCGGCAAGCTCGGGGTCGGGCGCCGTGGTCCTCGTGCCGATCCCGGCCCGGGGCCCAGGTGTGGCCAGACGGGTGGCCGGGCTGATGCTCCTCAGCTGCGTCGGTAATGCTGTGAGGACGTCTGGGTGGACACCGGACCTCCCCCTGGGGTGTTGGGCGTCTGAAGGGGCAACTTCCTGCCGCACGCCCGAGTGACCGCGCAGAGTCCTGATGGCCCCCTCTGGCCCGCTCCCTGGGGTCCCTGTCCTTGGTCTCCCCCCTCCTCAGCTCTCTGCTCTCACTCCCAGAAACCCAGTTCTGACCGCGGCACCCGTTACCGTCTGTGAGCCACGGAGACACGTTAATTCCAGACCGTCATACATAACAGTTCTGGACAGAAACAAATGGAACGTCCTTAGTTCCCGTTTCGAGAATTTAAAATTGTACTTAATTCCAGGAGATTTGACTGGAGGGACTGCACCACAAGGTGGGTGGTGGGTGGGCGTCAGACTCTCCTTACTTTAAGGCACATCTATGCTGGACGTCGACTGGGACCTGGATCCGTGACCCCGGCTTGGAGAGGAAGGGGCTCCCGCAGGTGCCGAGCAGGGAGTGTGTGTGCAGCTCGGGCCTCAGTTTGCTCACACGCCACACCGCGTTGACGCGAACGGCTTTGCCTCTCACACTGGGGACGGTGTGGCTGGTGGGGATGGCCTGTTGCCAGGCGACATTCTAAAGGGGCAGGCACGCGGCCGGGCCGGGACCTCGCCGTCTTTCAGACGAGCGTCCCTGTCTCTCGGCTGGTTTCTCCGCAGGAGGTGCTCCAGAACCTGTACCGCACCAAGTCCTTCCTGTTCGTGGGCTGCGGAGAGACCCTGCGGGACCAGATATTCCAGGCTCTCTTCCTCTACTCGGTGCCCAACAAGGTGGAGCTGGAGCACTACATGCTGGTGCTCAAGGAGGACGAGGACCACTTCTTCAAGCATCAAGCGGACATGCTTCTGCACGGGATCAAGGTCGTGTCATACGGGGACTGTTTTGACTATTTTCCCGGATACGTGCAGGACCTCGCCTCTCAGATCTGCAGGCAGCGCAGCCCAGGTACCGGCCATTCCCCCTTCCGGGCGTAAAGCGAAGGGGTTCTTTCTGATTTTCCTTTCTTGGGGATAGAACGTACGTACCGCGAAACGAAGTGGAGATGTAGTTTTACACACCCTTACGTTGACCGGCCCTCCAGCCACGTTTTATTTATTTATTTATTTATTTTTAATTTTTTTTTTTTCAACGTTTATTTATTTTTGGGATAGAGAGAGACAGAGCATGAACGGGGGAAGGGCAGAGAGAGAGGGAGACACAGAATCGGAAACAGGCCCCAGGCTCCGAGCCATCAGCCCAGAGCCCGACGCGGGGCTTGAACTCACGGACCGCGAGATCGTGACCTGGCTGAAGTCGGACGCTTAACCGACTGCGCCACCCAGGCGCCCCCAGCCACGTTTTAAAAGGGTCCGTGTGTCCGTTACAAATCGGAGGCTGGGGCGAGTGGTCTGATGGTAACGTCTGCGAGCGGAGCCTTAGCGTTTAGCGCTGTGCGTGCAGGAGCCCCCGTGTACTCCTCTGTTTCCGATGGCCGGCTATGTCCCCGCCGAGGCCCTTAACCAGGAGAGCAAACTGCCCAGCCGGCCGCAGCCGTTGAGATGCTGAAACCCCAAAAAGTGCAGAGACCTCATTTATTCTCACCGTGTCGCTGCAGCTCACGACTTAGAACCGCAGAGACACGAGACGATTTCACGAAGACTTTTCTTTTCGCAAATAACATCTTTTCCCCGTTCTGCCGCGTGCAGCACACCCTCGTAGGTGATTCCTGGCCCGGCTGGGGGGCAGTTGTTGACCTGCCCAGGAAGGACCAGGGTAACTGAGCAGCTTTTAAGTGGGTCAGCCTGTCAGAAGGGCAGTTGATGGCTTGGAGGTCGGGGACGTCAAACACGGATGATGGTGGGCGTGGAGCGGTCTTTACTGGCTGCCATTTAATTGCAGCCAGAACCTCCCCCCACTCCCCCCGGGCAGGGGACTTGGGTCAACCACGTGGATGGCTGCACGTGGCCGCTGTGACCTGGAAGGCCAAGATTGCGGCCGACCGGATGCGTACATGGTCCCGACAGCTCCGTCTCTCCCCGCTCGTCCTAGCGGACAGTTGGCTTTACGTCGAGGGCAGTGGTCCGTGTCGTAGCCGGAGGAGCAGCGGGGACGGACCCTCACGGGGCCCCACCCGCCGTCAGCTTTACCTTCTCCACCTTCGTGTTCGGTCACAGGACCCGGGGCCACGAAACAGATGATTCGATAGATGGCGAGGCCAGCTCAGAGGCGAATCACTTGCCCGGTGAACGCCCAGAGGTTTCGGAGCCGGAGCGGGATCCGGTGTGTCCCAGGCAGGCCCGCGCGGCCTCGTCCTGCCCCTCCCCACGGCCTCCCCCGCCTCCGCACGCACGGCTGCCCCGAGGACCGGGGCTCACGAAACCCGAGTGCCTTCCTGTCCCCGCTAGACCCCCTTCCATGACCCCGGGTGCATCCGACGAGCTGTCAGGGCCAAAAGCTCTTTTGGACCCGGAATCTGTGACCGTGTCCTTCAGGACGTTTGTGCTTACCTTCGCGAATTCTCTCTCTTGACCGGAGGGGGTGGTGTCCTGGCGAGGGCAGTCGTGACAGTGACCGCGGGTACCGTACCTTCCTCCCCGTGTGCCAGGCTGGCCCAGACATGCCGCACGTGGAGCCCCTCGGTCCTCACGGTAACCCAGGGAGGAGGCAAGGAGGGGCGCTCCCGGCCCGGGGCCCCACGGCACAGCGGAGCTGGCGCTCAGGTCCCCTTGTCGTGCTGCCTCTCCGAGCAGCCCTTGCCGCCGTCCCTGCCGCTGCCCTGAGGATGAGGACCAAGGGCACGTGACGTCTCGGTTCTGCTGACTCTCTTCTTTCTTCTCCAGATGCTGACCGAGTGGACAGCACCACGCTGTTGGGTAAACAGATCTTGATTTCTGCCAGCCCGTTCTTTGCCTACACGTGCTGCTAGCTCGCTGCCACTGTTGCAGAATCACCAAGTGTTTCTCGTAGTAAATACTTAGCCTGTATTGAAACGGCCCCCCCAGAGGTGATGGCCAGCCCCGCCCTCGCGAGGGTCCCTGCCACAGCGTGGGGGTTAAAAACGCATCCCCCCAGCAGGGAGGCGCAGCTCAAACACGGGTCATGTGCTGGCACCCGAGAATAATTTCCCGTCTTACAAGTGAGAGTTGCAGGGCGACCAGACGAGACTCCGTCTAAGGTGTAGCAGGCCTGGCCCGGCCCCCTCAGAAGTGTCCATCGCCAAGGTTCTGAGCTTTCAGATCAGTTTTTCTGCTTGCTGCTTGTTGGAAAGGTGCAGCTTCTCGCTGCCAGGCCCTCTCTGGCCGGTTACGAATTTGCAAGACAGAGCCGGGCCGGCTGGCGGCCAGTGTCCTCCTGTGGGCGGAACGGGCACCGGGCTGTGCACGGAGGTGGGCTGGTGGGGGAGAAGGGGCTGGTCTGTGCGGCCCTGGTGCCCCTGCCCTCCTGGCTCGGCCCCTCCGCTTTCCATTCCTGCCTCGTTTCCCTGTGAAAGGACGCCTTCGTTAGACCCTTTCCCACTTAAACGTGACTTTCTGATCCGTCCCTTTCTTTGGAAGAAAGCGCAACCCGTGGGGCACGGCAGGGGTTATTTGGCTATTGTTTCAGTAAAATCCGATTTATTGGCCCTTGAAGGGTGGATTCTAAAACAGATTAAAAATTTTCACCTCACAGGTAACGCGTGTCAGGACTGCGCGAAGAGAAAGCTGGAAGGGAACGGGATTGAAGATTCAAAGAGGCCCCGACGGTCCGGTGCAGGTGCGCGTGCTCTCCGTGCAGCGGCCGCTTGGCCACACACAGCCGTTGGCGGCCCCTGTGTTTTGTCCGGTCATGAGGCCCCTTGCCGTGGGCGGGAGGGGGGAGGACACGTGTGTCCGTTGAAAGCGGCACGCGCTTGAGGAAGCGCACGGGAGGTCAGCCCAGGCTTCTCGCAGTGAGCGCTCTGTGCCGTCACACCCGCTTCGAGAAGCAGCATCGCTGGGAGCCTGTCCCCCCCCCACCCCCGCCGCACCCCGGCTGACCACCATCCTGCCTTCTGTCCCTCGGTCCGCAGGGAAAACCACTTCAGGTCATCTGTCTTTTGTTCCCCGTGTCACCGACAGGGAGTCACATAAACTGTTGATTTAAGCGGACAACGTCCGTGGCTCCGGGAGAGGAGACGTGGCGCCCTCACGCCTGCCTCCAGGTGTCGGCGCATCACCTCTAGTTGCCCACGTGCCGGCTCTGACTCCCGAACCGGCCCCTGCTGGTTGCCAAGGTCATAGCACGGATTGTGCCCTTTGGTCTGTCTATAGGCGGTAGAGTTTAAAAGGTGAAAAACAAAAGCGATTACTTTATTAAAACGACGCAAACGTTTTTTTTCTGGCCGAGCAGCCATCCCCGGTGCTGTGTTAACGGGACCAGTGTCAGCGGCGGGATGTTGTCAGTATCGAGGGCAAATGTGCTCTTTTGCTTGTTGCGTGTCGGTGCTTTTTATTTTTGAGGGATTTTCAGATTTCTCTTTGCCCTTGTCCAAAAAATAATGTTTTGCGGTATTTTTTTTTTTTAAGTTTATTTATTTATTTTGAGAGAGAGACAGCCAGAGCCGGGGAAGGACAGAAAGACAGGGGGAGAGAGAGAATCCCAGGCAGGCTCCACAGGCAGCACAGAACCCGACGTGGGCCTTGAACTCACAAACTGAGATCATGACCTGAGCTGAAATGGAGAGTCAGACGCTTAAGCGACGGAGCCACCCGGGCGGCCCACGTTATTTTCCAATGGATCATCGTCTGTCATAGGGCCCCTCCCTTCCCGTGACATTCGGCCTTCTGCCCGGCTCTGGACTGTGCACACTTGCCGCGTGGGAGCTCTCTCGCTTCCTAGGCCACTGTTGCAAAGACCTGTCTTCCTGCCCCGGCCGTCTGGCCAGGACCTCCTCAGGGGGCGCTCACAGCCCCGTGGG